GTGTGGAGATTCTTTTTCTTCTGAGCTCTTGCTCTAAAAAACTACATAAAATTTTTATTTAAAAAATAAATAAAAAAACGATAAACATTGAATCCGGTTATCTTCCCATGTTTGACCCAACAAATACCCTCTACCACTAACAATGTATAAATAAAAAACAGCATTACAGCGATTTCTTCTGTAAAAAAAAAAAAAAAAATCATAAAATAAGAATGACACATCTCATTAAGGTAAATAGAGCTGTCATGTTACACATCCATTCGAGAGTTTAGCAAGTTGTTTGATTAGTTAAATCAAATGCCATTTAATTATATATTTAGAAATGATTTCAATAAAGCAACACTCAAACATTCTATTTAGATATTCGCTTGTCACTTTACACATTTTAACTTGACCCTAAATGCATTATATAAATGATTCACTGTATAGGTTGCACCATGTTTTAACTTGTAATTTTAAAGTAATAATAACTGATAATCCAGTTTAGCCAACACAGACCACAGATGAAGTATGGATTTCTAGGCTGTCCAAAATTGCATACTCTCTTGAACAGGATACTTTTCAAATGCAAAAAAGACCTATATATTATGGTATAATTAGAGTCATGTGACTTACCTGCATCGACTGCATCACTTGACTGCCATTCATAAACCTCCGATCAAAATCTCTCCAGAAGTAGAAGGTCATCCAGGTAGTTTGCACTAGGGTTGCACGATATTGTAAAAAACGGACATTGCAGTTTCGTATTTGTCTGCAATACTTATTGTGATATTGAGTATACTTTCCCCAGATTAATAAATTACTCTTATTTAAAAATATTTTATATTTTTTAAATATTAATTATTAGATTAGAAAATAAACCAAATCACTAGCATTGACAAATACAATGGAGCAAAGATGAAAATGAAATGCACAGAACTGTATGGTTTTCTTGGAGTCTAGCAGGCAAAATAACAATAAACAAATGTAAAATGTCATTGCATAGTCTGCATGGTATAAATACAATTAATCTTTCTTAAAGTTCAAAGCATTATGATTTGTTTCCTGAATGTTTTAAACTGGCTTAAAATGCTCACAGACCTTAAAAAAAAACAAATACAAATGATAAACATGTTGGCTTTAGTAAAATTTTGCAGTGAATCCACAAATCAGGTATGATTTCAACTGTGGAAAATTTTAACTCGACATTGCAGTTCCTGCGTTGTGACTTTTGCGTACGGGCATATTGCAATATCTATGCGGAAATTATATTTTGTGCAGCCCTAGTTTGCACATTACAATAAGTATATGTAGGCCTGTCACAATAATCAATATATCGACTTATTGCACAACACATGGGCATGACCTCAATAATCTTTGGTGATGCAATTTATATCGCCTATACATAAAACCAATTCTAACCACATTTTAACTGATTGTGTAACATCTCTATCTCATTTGGAGGTGTCAGTTAGTATGGTAAAAAAACAACAACACTATAGTATTTACTATAAATTACTTTATATAATTATAATTGTATATTTTCATGTGGGTGTCTGACGACTGAAAATAGATCTGGTACCAGATATCGCAGCCTCTTTTGTGTTAACATTTATTATTATTTAATAAAGTTTTTACATTCTGATTCCTATGCATAATTATTACATTTTTTAAATGGCTATAATTAAATGAAATATTCTTAAGAACAAAATATTGTTTATCGCAATATATTTTGGTGCAATATATCGTTCAACCAAAAATAGATATCATTAAAGGCCTAAGAATATGAATAATGATGTGATATGTAAACTAAACATTACTTTAAAATGAACTCATGATAAGTAAATGCATGCAATAATCATGAACTGAGTCACATGAGATCATATGTGAAAAACAATAACCTTAATTATTGTTGGTACAGGATTGTTTGTTAATTATTGTATTAATTACCACATTGGCTTAATTTAATCATCATGAACTCATGATGTATTAGTGCATAAGTATATCATGACTTTACTTGAAGGGGTACATCATCATTAACCCATTCTTAACTACTCAATAACTCCTTATGGACATCTATCTAGTGCAGTGGTGGGCAAACTTTTTAGACCCGAGGGACCACATCAAGTTTTACAAACCAAGTGAAGGGCCACAATCCTTCAAAAATAACTTTTATTTATAGTGGCGATATGCATGAAACATCTAATATTGGACAGAAACAGGTCGCATTAACACAAAATAGATTTTTTTAAATAGTTATTTAAATTTAGAGTCAAATTTACAAGTGAAATTAATTTGCACTGCTATTTATATTTACTTATCAATCATCATAAAACAATAAAATAATCCCTTATAAAATACAATAATAATAATAATGTAATAATTTTTTAGTGGAGAATAGAAAATATATTGTCTGATAGAAAAAATCTCATAATATCACATAAAAATAATTACTAAAGTTTACTATTCAGTCAAATTTACAATAATCTATTTTGTGCTGCTTTTAGTATATACAGATCAATCATAAAACTTGGTATAACCACAAACCTTTGATAAAAGAATTTTTTAAGTGGATGTCTGCATGGGAAATATATTCTATGACAAAAATTAACACATTTAACCAGCATTTATTATATAATTTGAGACAAATTCACAACAGTCTTTTTTAAGCTTTATTAATATTTAAGCTTTTTATTAACATTTAAGCTCTATTAATATCCTCATTTCAATCATTTTAAAACTATGAGATAAAACAGAAAAAGTCTTTGTTATTTAAACTCATGTTATTATGAGTGTGTTAAAGTGAACAATAGCCTAAAATAAAGTTATATTAATATAAACAGCAACACTCTCGCAAAATACCGAGCTGATTCAGTCGTTGCCAAGCGACATAAAAAAGCGCACCACTCTCCTTTTTTTCTTGTCAGCAAAAAGGCAGTGCGATGCATCTCGTGTTTTTGGAACGTAAATGCAGTGCATCAGTGTGATCGGCCCGTTAGGTTGTGGTCTTTAAAAACAGCAATACTTTCTTGGCATATTAGACATACCGCTTTCTGTTAGATATAGGTGAAGAAGTATTTTGTTGTCCATTCTTCTTTAAACACATGACATTCAGAGTCAACTTTTCTTTTCTTGCCTGACTCATTTTCAGTTATTGACAGTCGAGTGCATTTTAACATTCGAGAGCGTGTTCTAATTCTACTTGTTGCTCTAACTGTATCGCGCAAAATACTGCCTTCAAATGGCGTTTCCTTGTATTGCATCAACTTACTAATTCTAAAACCAAACCGTTACTCAGAAGCAGCATTATAAAAACTCCCTCGCGGACCGGATGAAAGTGTTCAGCGGGCTGCATATATAACAATAAAAAATAACAATATAAAATTGTTCTGTCAACATCAACATGAAGAGTTTAAACTAGGGATGCTTCGATTGATTGGCATCTGCCAATCATCACACTTAATGACTCAATTAGTACTTGCCAATCTGGCCGATCTTATGAATTGATCACAAGTGTTTGTTTACAGACAAGATGAGTGTGCGCACCTGGGTTATACAGATAGCAGCATTGCAACATGTAAGGAGGTAAATGATGCATGGGGGGCGTAAGCGATCACTGCGCACGCATCAGCAGCGAGATGTATACAGATTTTGTGTGATCTTTTTTTATTTATTGTATATGCAGTGTTTTGAGCTGCTTTAACACGAGCAGAGCAATCAGCCCCAACTTGTGTCCAACCGTATAACCTCTCACTGAAGCTCTGTGGGTCTTCAGCATATGATCTATTATTTTCTGTAAAGCTGCGTCTGTCCACAATAAATGGTTATAAGAGACTTGTTTAAGATTATATGTCATGATAATAATGTGTATATATAGGATTACATGCAGCATCCTTAGTTTATTATTTTTAGCAAGGAGGGATCTCCACTTAAGTATCATACTTAGGGAAAATGTGCTTTATGCAATGGCAAAGTTACATAAAGCTTGAAGCATCAGAATCAGTACTCCGTATCGGCTTATCACCTTAAGATATTGGTACTCAGTTTTGGCTGCAAAAGTCCTGATCGGAGCATCCTTGGTTTCAACACGAGTTCATGAGTAGTTAAGGATGAGTTAATGGTGATGTGCCCCTCCAAGTAAAGTCATGAGAAAATTATACATTGACGTGAGTTCTTGTTGGTTTCATTTAGCTTAAACTTAAAATGGTAATTAATACAATAATTAACAACATGTACTAACAAGTAATTAAGGTAGGCGTGATTCAGAGCGCAACTCATCATTAATTCATAATTAAGTAACGTTTAAGTTATATATTAACACATCATTATTCATGTACTGTTATTACAAAGTGTTACTGGTAGTTTTCTGACTACAGCTTTTTGAGTACTCTGAATTCTTACATGCTTTCATCAAATACTGTTTTCTGCTGACTTTATAGCAGAGAAGCATGCGATTTCAGACACTGCCGTATCATTTGAGAAACACTGGAGAACAGCTTTTCCATGCATTTGACTTGTATGATAAAATGAGCGTCTACTTCTGACATTGTAGGGTCTAACAGAACATTTTATTAGACATGTTGCAAAAGTTCATGTAAATACATCTGTTTATTTGTATCATATATATCTGTAGGAACGGAAGAGCAAAGTGAAAAGTGCTGCTCATATATTGATTAGAATTTTGAAAATAAGTGTTGATCGCTAAATCTGTACCACACAATGCAATGCTAAGCAGTTTGAAGCTGAAGAGATCATCTGAATTTTTATTCATGTATTAAACAAGATGTATTAAGCTTCCACAGAAGAAATCTAAAATATTCTCATCATCTCTTTATCCCTCTGCTGAATATATATTTATACCTTTGACAACTGTTAAGACAAGCACAGTTTTTTTTTAGATTGTACAAATTGAAAGCGATATACGTTTGGCACAGAAATAACAGATAATACAGGTGAGTAGAAATTCCCAGAGAGTAAACCCTGCTCCTGCACCACAGTTTGACTGATTAAACAAACAAACAGGTCAAGGTTAGTTTAATGAATTAGTCTGACCCCGATTAAAAAAACAAAACAAAACAAAAACATACAGGATCTATAGAGTTTTAGAAGTTACGTGAAGATTAATGAAGTGGGCCTGAGTTGATGTTTGGTGTAGCTAAGTGTGATTGTACTGTAAAGGACTATTTAAAAAAAACATATCTGTCTGTATGAATCCAGAGTGTTTAGGTACTATAATCTGCATCCATTGTTTTGGTTGTACACTGTGGCGTATGCCAGCGACAATAAAGGAACAATTACAACAAACACATAAAAACAAAACAGACAAAGCAAACTCATGTTTCACATTGCATAATTCCTATATCAATTAACAGGTGAAATTAATAATAAATGGCTTTCTTTAGACATGAATACGCCTTTCTGTAGAACTAACTAAAATCAGCCCCTTTAAAGCATTTACAAGGAGTGAAAGTGCTCGATTTGCATTTTTCGGCCGACGTCCAATCAGCATAAAAATAATCGTCAGGACTCCACCTCCATGTCGTATCAGTAAGGATCACTTTTTTTTGTTGGTTTTTTCATTTTTTTTTTTTTGAAGTTCACACTACTCAATTACAGAGCTGCCAAAAAACACGGCCATTTGTTTTTTTTCAAATTACAAGTGCAAGTGGGTATAAAAGTACAATCAACTATGAGAAGAATTCCTAACACAATGACGAGTCAAGAAAACGGCTAAAAGGAAACAAGCTAAAAAAGGCACATATTTTCCCTTTTCTGTGTATATATGAGACTCTGTTTACATGAGTTGTTTTAAAACTGTAGATATGATGTCATACAAAAAAACGTGTTTCATTTTCAAACCAAGCTGAAGCCATTATAGTCTCTGTACATATTATTGAAATGATTAATATTTCAACTGTTATCATCTGAAGTTAAAAAGTAGGATATTGGGATCGAAGTAAAAGTGACTACTGTGTATAATCCGAGCATACTGGACTGTAAGTGCTGCATCTGCTCCAAAAAATAAAAGACGTGTGGAACTCTACTTAGCAAGTGACCTTTAGACTTAGATTAGCTTTCTTTTACTACTAGTTGATGCTGGGAGTCAAACACCTGAGACGACATGTATGGGATAATCTATCCATGTGATTCACGATTATATCATTTCAACAGTTCAGCCATTTTGTTAGTTCTTTTTTTATATATATATATATAATCTCTAATTACCCGTCTCTTCCTCTGACTCCACTTTTTTTGTGGTCAATGATGGAGTTCTGTGCTGGGTTGCATACAGTCGCAGCCCCTCAGCACTCTCACTCAGCTCTCTCTGAAACTCTGCGGTTTCGGGTCGGGTGGAGGGGAGTGAGGGGATATTTAAGGCATCGTGTCCTGCTGTTGGGAGGAGATTCATTTCTGGTGAAAGAGCAGCGGTTTAACACTCCCATCTTTGAATTTTGGTAACTGGTTGCTGATGATTTCTGCAAGCATTTCGGGAAACTCCACGCTCAGAGATTTATTCACAAAGGTGTAGAAGCAGAAGTTCAGGAGTCCACCCACCAACTGCAGAGATAAAGAGAGGTGTTAGAGATTTAAACTTTGTAGAAAGCAACATTTGTAATAGTTTACTTCTGTAAATAAAGAATATCTGTTGTGGGGTGAGAGAGTGAATTGTGTAAGTGTGCTTTCACACCTGTGAATCGATTCAGTTGATCCGAAACAGAGATTACAAATGTTACATTGTTGCTCTTTGCTCTTGGTGCGGTTCGCTTTCACACTGGAAAGTTTCTAATCAGACCAAAAGAGCTAAAACATGTCATGTGCGAGTAAACTCTCCTCACATTGGTCAGAGTGTCAGGGTTTATTTTGCAGCATCCCGCTCATCTGTCAGGAGAGGTGGTGGTTTGGTGGTGATTGACAAGGTGCGCGCGCGCGCGCGACGTGTCTGAATAGAGATGCGGTGGGGAGGGGTGAGAAGGGTGCACGACGATGCCTATTTGAGGACCGGGAGGGAGACGCGAGATTACCGGGAGATCATTACTCGTTTGCGGGCATCCGGAGACTCGCGAAACTTCCCGCCCTACTCATAATTCTCTCTTCATATAGTCGTAAGCCTATTACATATCCATAAAACACTGTGATATAACCGCGCTCGGATCGCTTTCTCACTGCAATCGATCCGCTCCAGGGTTCGTTTCAATCGAGCCGTGACCACCTCACTCAGGCGATCTCGGAGCGATTACTTTGGCGTGGAACAGAGCGCGATTGCCCTGTTCACATATGCCAAACAAACCGCGCTAACTAGGCAAACGAGACAGGTTATGAAACAAAAGTGTAGGTGTGAAAGCACCCTAAGACTTATTTTGTGCTTTACAAAGGTAACTGAGAATGTTGTCAATAATGACTACAGTCGTTATATGCCTGCTAGGTCAATAGTTAGCAAAGTCACACAGTAGCTTCAGCAGCACAAAAAAGTCTTAAGGTGTGTCCCAAATCGCATACTTATCCACTATTTGACACCATTTTGTAGTATGAATAGCGTATGTAGTGTGTTCACACTAAAACCTCTAAAAATAATAAGTGCAGTTTAAATACCCAGATGATGCACTTATTCAACTGGTAAAATAAGGTGTGGAATGAGGGACACTTCACGCACTCAACGGCCATTGTTTTGCTCATGTAGCAGTAGGGGCGCAGCTTTTGGGTGCTCATGTTGGATTACTTTATTTTTTTCTGGATTGTGAAAGCGAAATTCTCCTACGAGAGTGATTATAATGCCTCCTGATGATGAATGCGGTTATGCTCATGGCAGGTATTATTTGGCGATTTGGTCATTTATTTTGCTAATTAGCAACCGTCAAACGTCATTAGGAAAATGCTTTATATTTCCGCTTAGTAAAAAACATTAATGTTCCTACTGGGACGACACTACAAACATGCTGTTGAGTGTGTAAGTGCATAAATACATAGTCAATGTTGTGCAAGTTACTTTCAAACTGTAATACATTACAGATTACTTGTGACTGTTATGTAAAAGCAATCCCTTACCTTACAATTACCTTACTTTCTCAGAATTGTAATATGTTACATGACTCTCATTACTTTTCAGTTACTTTAACCAAAATAACAACAGGAATTAGAAGTTAACATTCTAAAATGACCAAATGTACTGCAGAGCATTTTACATCCAGTAGAAAGCGATATGATGTAGCAGAATGACTGTGACCTATCCAGGCTACTAACAATATAGTATATAAACGTGAAGGCTCAAGACAATGCAAGAAAGGATGACAGCCAGAATCACAAATGATCCAAGTCTGTTAAAAGTATGGTAGAGGTAAAGAGATTATTTGGCAATATCTGTGAATACCTTGACTATATTCATATTAGACACAACAGGCCTATATGTAAACTCCAATGCCATGACAAGATGCAGATTTTTTTTCTTTTCTTATTGATGCCATTAATCTATTCACTTTAAATTCAAGTGGCTCACAACACAAAACTGTCATGCACAAAGTGAGCATGATGAACAGATTTCTCAGTATATTTCTCAGAGTATATTTGAGAGCGGGCTAGGCAGTGGCGCAGTAGGTAGTGCTGTTGCCTCACAGCAAGAAGGTCGCTGGCTCAGTTGGCGGTTCTGTGTGGAGTTTGCATGTTCTCCTTGCCTTTGCGTGGGTTTCCTCCGGGTGCTCCGGTTTCCCCCACTGTCCAAAGACATGCGGTACAGGTGAATTGGGTAAGCTAAATTGTCCGTAGTGTATGAGTGTTTGAATTTGTGTGTGGATGTTTCCCAGAGATGGGTTGCGGCTGGAAGGGCATCCGCTGCGTAAAAACTACAGTATATATATATATCTCAACAAAGAAAGGTGTAATTAACTTAATGTTAATTAATACTTAATAGTATAATACTGTTTTTACTGTACTCAAGTTATGATAAAATAACTGCACAATTAAAAAGTCTTACCGACCACAAACCTTTGAACAGTATTTTCAACTTTCAGTTATAAATGGCACAACAGATAGTAAAACAAATCAAATATGATCCAATGTAGAGCTGCACAATATATCGTTTCATCATTGATATCGCTATTTGCGCATCTGCAATAGTCACACTGCAAGATATGCAATGTTGAGTCCGTATTATAGTTGACCAGGAGCTACAGAATTGTATTTAATTGGTGTATTCATATGGAATTTACACGATTTATGCAAAAAAGTTTTTTTTTTTTACTTTATTCTAGTCCAAATATCTACATTTAAAAGTGACAAAAATTATTTTACTTACCCCACTGGCAGATAATTTAGCTTGTTGTAACTCTTAATTTTGACTTATTGTAAAGTCTTTTTTATTATGTTTATTATTTATTTTTTTTAAATAATTCAATATTTTTGAATATTTTTAATATTTTTACTTGCTCTAAAATAGTTTTTGATATTTGGTTTAGAAACGAGATAAAAGTAACACATTTTTTTTGCATTGTTATTATTAAATTTTCCGTTTGTGATTACTGAGAAATCCATCAAATAGTGCTATTGTGAAACGGTGTCAAAATATTTATTGCAGAAAAATCAAGTATTTCAAGAATCCAATTTTTCCAATATTGTGCAGCCCTAATCCAATGCTAGCTAAAATGCTAATATATGATATAGAAAGATAAATCAGACATTTGTTCTGCTCCAAAACCTGGTGAGTTGCCCCTATAGAGTGCATTACAGTCACACCTCTAAAGTTAAAGTTCAAAGTTTTGGCCAAATTTAAGGATACTCAAACTGAAAAAAAATTAAATTCATTCAATGCTGAAAATATAAACTATTTGACTACTGTAGTAAAGCTGTTTATGTGGAATTATAAAAAAACTGTATATTTTACGCAATATTTCTGTGTTTTATTTTTAGGGTATTGCATCACTGGCTTAGCAACATGCAAAATTCTACTGGGATCAATTGTTGAGTTGAGTCTCCCAAGCGGAATCACTATGACGCACACAGTTGCTGCCTGTGCACAGCTTTCCAAATCAGTCCTCCTCAGTTTGAAAACTGCCTTTGAAAACATCCGTCTAGAGGCAACAGACAGCCAGACAGCTCACTAGGGCTTTGGAGCAGAGAGAGACATGGTTTTCTATAAGCATTATTTAGGAGAAGCATCATTACGTCGTGCATGGAGTCCAGTAGCTTAGTGAGCTGATAGAACCGTTGCCAGTTCTGGCTGGAGTTCTCCTCTCTCTTCACAATAGCCTTGCCCAATTCTTTAATGTAAGACATTCGTAGTTCATCAAACACTGACTGGCTCTTCAACCCATCCTTCGGCACTGAGAAACAACAAAAATCATGCAAAATAGCTGGTATAAGCTCGTTTGTTTCTGAAAGAGTATATAAGGATGAATCTAAAGAGGTATCTAGAGAAGTTCACCTGTGTTCAGGAGCAGAAGGACTTTCATGCACAGATACTCCTCAGTGGACACTTGCAGTCGCACAAATTCATTGGAGATCTTCAACATCTGTTCACACTGATCACTCATGTAGGGCAACTTCATCCTCTCTCTGTGGACAGACACACATGACCCTTATTTAGGACTTTATGTACAGTACTAGAGTTTCCCTAAATACATGGTTTAGGATACATGGTTAGGATCACACAGAGACTGATCTGCTAGTGATGATATATGAATTGACCAAAATGTGTGTTGCAAGTAGAGAATTGATCTCATTTCTGCTCTCATTCCGTAGAAATGATCTGTTCTTTATATGGACCTCTTGTTTACATTGGTGGCAAATTGATGCATGAGCCATGATGTTGGCGCTTTCAAACCAACTTTTCTAAATGTCAAAAGTAGGGCAAGTATGCAATGGGAATTAATCATTCTACCCTATCCTGTGCTGTTTTCATCTTGCTACAGGGCTAAACAACTCTCACTTTGACTCAAATGGATTGTGGTTAGGTTTGGCACCAAAATTAATTGTGTTAAAGAGCCCATATTATGGGTTTTTGAAAATTCCCCTCCATGTAGTGTGTAACACAGCTCTAAGTGAAGTGAAGTATCCAGCTAAGGCTTAAATCTGTTAGTGTACAGTGTTTAAAACGGTTGATTCATCTATAAAAGAGTCGACTCATAGTGCTTCAAACGAGTCGCCTTGATACCGACTCATTAGGTGTTTCGCCATGACGTACGAACGAAACCAAGTTATTCACGTGCACGCGCAAACCCGGGAGATTTCAAACCTGAGGCTCCGCCCTCTGACGCAGAAACCCAGACACACACACACCCACAAACACACACACACCCACAAACACACGCACACAAACATGCCGGTCGATTGAAGTCACACTGCAGATGGATATATTGAGTCTCTACCCAAAGATGAAACCTCAGCATTATAACCAAGCAGTTGGAAACTTCTGGAAGCTACATGCTACAAAGAATACTTCATCTGAGTTTGTTAAAGGAAGGATCAGTAAAGAGTAACTGATGGACGTCAGGATGGGTTTCTTCCATTTCTCAAGTGTGAGTACATGCGGTTAAAGTTGTTGCCTCGTTTACTCTAGCTTGCAAATGTATTTAGTTGTGATTTGTTACTTGTAACCGCGTGTACTGTATCAGGTTAACTGGATATATTATCTTATCGCGTGCAAAGTCACGTTAAAAACGCGACGCGTGCTGTTTGTTTATGGAGCTCCGTGCTAGAGTTCTGCTCCCGCGATTTATTCGGAAATGTATTCACGCGCCGCAGAAATCTGGCGCGGGGAGAGAGAGAGAGAGAGAAAGCGAGAGAGAGCGAACGAACGAACGAGCTTTGTGTACTTTGTGCTGTGTGTGTGTTTTTATACAGACAGCTTGGCTGTCTGGACTGTATACTGGGTGATATTTGGTTGTGTTCTCCGCTCTAGCGGGACCGGGCGTGGCGGGCAGAAAACGGAGCGGGTTCTCAGGCTAAAACCTGGCGGGTGCGGGCGGAAGCGGGAGCGTTGTCATCCGGAGGTGTGTGTGTGTTTTTGTGTGTGTGTGGTATGGCGAGTACACGACTGTCTCCTTCGTTCGGTTATCCGTGGCACTATCCACTCGCCATAGTGTGGCAGCTAAAATCCACGTCTACACTATCGAGCGTGTATGAACTGTGATTACTTTTTAAATTGCTGATTAGCTATTGGCCATTTCCCTCTCTGACTGAAGGCAGTCGACCAATCGCGACAGACTGTCATCGGTCTAATCAGCGCAGATTAGCTTCGCGCTAAGGAGGGGTTTGGGAACAAATGAATCACTGGACGATTCATACAGGAGTCGCTGGGATAATTAGGTAAAAATAAATGCAGATTATAAGACCATGAAAGTGTTTTTTGACCTTGCATGCATATTAGACTGTTGTTGGAGACCCTTACAACCAAGATATGACCCTATTTCATGTATAATATGGGCTCTTTAACTGCAATCCAGCAGGGGTTCAACTTTGGTTTAGACCAGGCAAGTAATATCAAGTTGAGACTGCATGATTTTAGCCCCGAATTTGACTTGCCGACAGGTTTTGAGAAATCGTCGAAAAATGCTTGAAATCACAGGCAAATCTGTGCTTACTCACATGAGAAACAACCACACATTATGGACTATCAAAGACACAATCTGAGAGAATCGCTGATGAGTCGCAGATGCCCATGAGATATTTTTCATGCTAAATATCTGGAGCTGTCTGCGATTCAAATCATGCCGTGTAAATTTGTTCAGATTGAAAATAACATCGGCAATTATCTATAGCCAATGAAAGAGCGTCATCCACTGGTATGGGTATTTGCAGGGCAGCGAGAGACTGGAGGAGAAGTTAAAAGCGAAGTTAAAAGATATTTGGTAGGAGCACTCAAGTCTGTTTGACTTGTTATATGAGCTATAAATTGCTAATTAGCCAGGTGAGCAAAATAAGTTCACTTTCTACCCCTCTAAATGCTTTTTTCTCAATATGTAGTTCATCACAAAAGATATACTATGTCACCACGCGTTGTTTCCATGTCACTTCTCGTGTGTGTTTGGTTGTGAGAAGTAGTTTGCGTACCGAGACAAAGATGTCTGCGATTCTTCAGATTGTAAAGTCATGCAGTGTGAAACCCCCTGTCTCTGATACATCTTTGTAAACACAGCAGCGATGAAATGTTACCGCAGATAGTCATACTGTGTGAAAACATCTGTGACACGACCACTTAATAGTGCAGTCTGAACTCGGCATAAGCCTATTGTTAAAGCACAAAAAAGAGGGTATGGATGGGTAAGTCTTCATTGTCGGGCAAACTTCTGCTGTGATGAAAAGAAACTATAAATAGATTTTTAATTAATTGCCAAAATATTACAAAGTATAGGCTTAGTACTATATCTTTAAAAGAAGCATCACAAACTACGTTTCCATTCAAAGTTGCCAATTTAAGAACACGTCTACTCTCATTTGGAAAAATCCACTAAAAACGCTCCATGTCCACACTACAGTTCTCAAATGCTTTTCAAAATCCACATTGAAACAGCTAATAATACAATTGTCAGTGTACTTCGCATGCAGTAAGATGTAAGATGCATGTATCTACTTTTGGCTCTTTAAAACATTGCAGCAGTACATTGAGGAATAGCATGGTCCGACAGTGAGGAAGAGTTGTTGCAAGAAACACAGCAGTATAAAGTTGCAAATGCGAGCCAGAATATAGACTGGAAGATGTCAAAATAACAGCTCTGAGTAAACAGTCAAAATTCTTTGAACAAAAGCTGCAGTGCAGCATGAACAAGCTGACATTAATCTTTACCAGTGCTGTCCAAACATGCATCCAAAACAGCTGCTGTACAGTTTCATCCACCTTATTAGCAGAATTGGTCACGACTAAAAATGAGCCTCCATTTTCACGACACATATTGTGACAAAAAACTGGCGTTGTCAATTTATCCACTTGGGAGCATTTTCACAAATATTCAATTTATCTTCATAAACTAAAACACCCTCTAAGAGTAGACAAAATACCAAAGCAGAGAGAAAATATCTCTTTTCAATGAAAATGTCATGGAGTAGACGTGGCATGACTTATAATTTAAAAATAAATTGGAATTTTAATGGATCGTTTCCATTCCATTTGTTTAAGAGAAATAATCTTTAATTGTCAAAAATTTAAAAGGCTGCTTCAATCCAGAAAACCACTGTAACTCATTTAATTAGATACATACTCATTGATCACCAGGTCTGGAGCGAAACACAGCATGTTTCCGTTACAGTGCTGGTAGGACCTCCAGCCCAGTCCAAAAGACATGATGAACAGCCAGGAACACTGCAGGAGGGTCATCTGATCATCCAGATGAAGGTTCCGGAACCCTAAAATACATGAAGCAGAGGGTATTTGATAAGCTCTGTGGCTGAAAATATTCCATAGGATGTTTTTAAAGACATCACAATTCGTACCTGGCAGAGCTTTAGCCCATTTGACAGCAGAGATGACCTGCCGGCCACCCAGCCTGTTCAACGTAGTCATGAGGCGGACGGATGTGTCTGGTATAGTGCTGTCATATCCGGCATAGAGGGTGTCTGGCTCAATGGCCTTTAGTAGTGATAGCATAGTGGGCACCAGCTGAGGCATTGGTTTGGGCACCAGTGCGCGGGCCTCCGGCAGTGGAGGAAGGTTGCGCTCCGGAATGGACTGCTGCTGGATTACCTTTCCGGCTTGACGTGCCTTTGACTTGCTTTTACGTGCTGAGCAGAGAAATTATTAAAATAGTTTTTTTTTTACTTACAAATATTCACTTCATAAAATTTTAGATTCAATACAAATCTAGACTAAAGCTGCATGATTAATTGTAAAAAAAAAAAAAAACATATTTTAACCAAAGACTATAGAAAACACAAGGCATGTCACTCATATCTTTTTGAATGGGGAAAAGTGTAACTGTCAATGTGGTGAATATTGCCCCGCCTACTAGTATAGGAGCCAATCATCGATTGCTACTGTATATGGTGAAAAAAGCCCGCCTTCTAGTACAGGAACCAATCATCGATCGCTTTAGACAGACGATACTCTGGGGGAGGGGCTTGGACCAGATGTGAGTTTCTGCAGATTTTGTGTAATTTGGATGTTTAGAAATGAAAATGAAAGAGACAGATGTTGTTTAATTTCATTGGTGATCCCTAATATGAAATTCAATCGTAAGTTTGGCAAGCATCTTTGGAGAAGTTTATGTTTCCCCATTCAAACAGAATGCCTGAGCATACTGCCAGAGAGGTGTTTCAAAAATGCAGCCGAGTGAATGACCTGCCTTAAGGGGACTTTGTCTTAACTATCCACATAGTCTAATTCTAAATGATGGTGGTTCAGATTTGTTAATTAAACTTTGGATGATCACAGATCTGCATGTGATCCAGAGAGCCGTTGTTTGGATAGATTTAATCTTTAGTCAATTTCACCAATATTATTATTTCTGTGTTACAAATATTCTAATAGCCACAGAAGTTCTAGGATAACAGCTGGCATAAAAAAAATGATGTTTACAGTGTGATCAAATTCAGTAATCGAGCATGACGCTTCAAATGAGGGATTACATTATTGAAGGCATTACATTATTACTACAGAATGTGGTGATGGACAAGTAAAATGTTTTTAATCACTGAATAAATCATCCCAGAGATTTTTCAAAAACACTGATTCAACACTGATATTTTAACACTGACTCTTATGATTAAGATTTTGTCAGAATCTAGAGTATTTTTTTATCATGGCTTGTATCCACTGATTGGTACATTTCAGTAAAGTACAGTTTAATTTAATTTAATTTACGCATTTATGTGTTTCCTCTGTAAGAAGTAGTAAAATGGTACATCATACCATATAGGGCTACACAATATATTGTTTGAGCATCGTTATCGCAGTTGATAATGCACAATAATGACATTGCGAGTGTTTACAATGTTGAGTCCGGATTATAATTGACAATTTTGCAAGTGTTTTTTGAGGCATGTGACTGTATGAGGGTTTTAAAAGCTTTGGCAGATGAATAACGATTAATTTTATTGTATTGTTTATAAAACGAAAACTATGCAGTATCATTTTTACATTTGATTATAGACTGTATACCTAAATACATTTTGAAATCAATAAAACAATAAATTGCTGTTTATTTAATTTTTATCTTTTTCTCAATTGCATTAATCTTTGCTTGTAGATTGTTTCTTATATTTTTTTGCATATGCCAGGGGGTGCCCAAATTCAGTCCTGGAGGGCCGGTATCCTGAATAGTTTGGTTCCAACTTCCTTTGACACACCTGCCTGAAGTTTCTAGTATACCTTCATAGAGCTTGATTAGCTGGTTTAGGTGTGTCTAACTGGGATCGGAATTAAAATTTGCAGGACACCGGTCCTCCAGGACTAAGTTTGGACAACCCTGGCATATGCACTCTCCTACAAAATCATCCCAATCAATCTAAAATGATATATTTTTCCCAAATAGTTATTCAACAAATATAGTGAAATTGTATTCCTATCATAATATATATCGCAGGATGAACATTTTTCTAATATCGTGCAGCTCTAGTACTGAACCACTTTTTTGGTGGAGCTAGATCCACTGGAAAATGTTAATTGTTTGGAAACAATACATTGTTTTTGTTATTTAAATCAAAACCTCATTTTATTTTTGAAAATAAGCCCATTGTAAAACTCCCAGAGCTGGAGTACTTTTTTTAAATCCGTTAGCTGATTTCTGGGCAGCATTTTTAGCTTAGCTTAGCATAGATTATTGAATCGGATTAGACCATTAGCATCTCACTCAAAAATTTGCACAAAGTTTTCATAAGTAACTTATTTAAAGCTTAAATCATCCTATATTGTAGGGCTGCACAATATTGAAAAAAAAGACATTGCAGTGTTTTTGTTTTTTCTGTGATATGAACATAATTACAAAAAGGTGACTATTTGGGAAAAAAAATCACAATTTTACATTGATTGTGCTGATTTTGTTAGGGAGTGCATCTGCATAAAATACACAAATGTAGGGCTGCACGATCTATCTTTGCGATATTTTGTTATTCTGCAATTTATATATTGCAATATTGAGTATAATTCTACCAGATGACTAAATATTTCTATTTGGAAAGAATTTATAATGTTCGATTGACTGTGATGATCCTGCATGTGGTTGAATCATGCATTAAATAGAATAAATCTAATATACAGGCAAAGATAAAAACAAATAAAGAAAAAGATACAATTGAAATAAACAGTGTTTTGTTGTTTTCCGAGTCTAACAATAATTCAGGAAAATTAATCCTTATTAAGCTTTCAATCATTAAATGCTTTTAAAATCATTAGAAACACATTCAAATGGGAAATTATAATACAAATTCAACCATAAATATTCAGCAATATGACTATTGCGAATGAAGACATTGCGATATCGATGCTGTAACGATATATTGTGTAGCCCTACTATATTGTATACTAAGCCTAAACTAAGCGTAAAATGAAAAGTAGCTATTTTAGGCTAATATGGCTTGGAACCATAATCTAATCAATCTAAAAACTTTGCTGCCATACCATGGTGGCAGCAGATGCAATGATATTACGCAGTGTCTCTGAAAAACTTCTGTCAAAAAAAACAGCATAACCACCTGCTGGCACAGGAAGCATGCTTTGCAACCATGTAGACATTTGTGAGAGACGTTTCTGAACTATTTTTATAGCACTGCATGATATTATTGCCCTTGACTTTAGATAGACTAGACTAGATGAAAAAATGGTAAATTTCTAGGGGAGTTTTAAAACCTGCTTATTTTCAAAAGTGGATAATGTTAGAATTGGATTGTTAATTCAGAATTATGGCAGAATCACGATCTCTATTCTTCTTTAAAAAAAAAAATGTAATTCTTATGTTTAGCAAGGTCTTGGCTAAGAAAGTGATTTTGATGTGGAAATCTACCTAAAGGTATTTTTAAAAATGGTTTCTGCCCTAAATCTGGAAAGGTTACATTTCTCAAGATTTGGCAAACTAAAATGTACAATAAAATATTGAGCCCCTCTCTTAGATTTATATTTTAACAGTGTCCACTTGAGATTCATTTGATGGTGCTGCATAATTACTGTATTCAGAGCCCCTAGTTTTTTGTGATTCCGTCATGAATCACAAAAAACTGAATCCAACGCCAAATCAACAAAAAGTCGCTGATGTTTCTTAATTAAACGCAAAGTAATCGCAAAAATAATAAATGATCTCAAAACAGATCAAATTCCAAACCATATAATCAAAATATATTTATTTCAGTTTGTAATGAATTGTTTTACATGACTTACAGACGTTGCATATGCAGCACACGTGTGATGTATTTGAAATCTCACCTGTGCGGCTACGCCCTCACAATACTAACATTACATGGAAGGGGGGGCGGGATTGTTTTGCAGCCTGTGCAGTAAGCAGACGCAGATGAAGTGTGAGTGATTTACTTGTGAAGTCTATGCAAAGATTGGATTAGACACCCTGTGGTGCGAATTGGCCATTTTGGGCTTCAGACTGCACAAGAAAGTTGGAAACATCGAACAAATGGGGCAATGGAGCAGTTGTAGATTTTTTTTTGACAAGAGATCAAAATAAAAAAGCTTTATTTTTATTATTTGTGTCACTTAGGGATGCACGATATATCAGCGGCCATATCACTATCGGCCGATAAATGGTATTTTTAAGATTATCTTTATCGATCCAATGTCTACATTAGGCAGATATCTTTAAGCCGATAAATTACGTAATTGTACAGACCGGCCTGCCTCGCGCATGTGTGGGCGGAACTTTAGACTTTAAACCTCACATTGTTTATTCCTTTAAAGTCCGTGCTTTCTTCATGTGGTATTGCTGTGCTTTAATATCTAAGTAAGTACCCATATTCCTCAGCATTGTACATATGTTTGATAGAGTGTCATTTTGTATTTTACTTTAAATCGCCTCAGGAAAAAATATTACATGTGCAAACATCACAGCAGCGATGCACACGTGCTAAACAACTCGTTGGGTTATTTGTAATCTAATAGGATTATTAGTTATTATTATTGTTATTTGTTTTGTTGATTTAAGAATGTATTCAGTTTGATCAGAATATTCATATTGATTATAACGAGTGCCTGTGAGGACTGTCACCGCACACACACCCACACACTGATCTGACAGCCTTCACAGCAGCACGGGGGAGAGGTGCGGTGCGCTGGTTACTGAATCCAGCGTAGGAGCTCTCAAATTGCCACACATTCTGTTTTTACATTATGCTCTGTGCATGTCATAAAGTTATCTGAGCTCAATGCTTAACTGCTCCGCCTGCAGTTGAGTGAAACTCGCATAATTTATCATAAACTTTTCATCTGTCATTTTTCCCCGCAATTGACAGCAAGAACGAACACAGAAGCGTTGTCTGATTGACAAGCAGCAGCTTCACGCGTTCAAAAGAATCTAAAACACCAAATAGGATGAATCTATGCTGCATTTTCTAAAGTAATACTATCTGTATTTAGCTGTTCGCTTGTACAGTGGCTCTGAACCTGCAAAACACCTCTATAACAGGCTTTTTTGGACATGACATATTTGTAAACATATACATCACTGTATAGTATAAGTTTCAGTCCATTTTTTCAGTCAATTTTTATTTTATTTAAAATATATTGAACTTGCTTGTTAATTAATTCCCAATTTGTTATTTAACCTATTATTTTTATGCAACAGTCAAGTTGCATGTTAATTTGCTATGCAGAAAAGGAAATAATAGATTTTTTGCATGCGGATTTATATAAAATCATGAATATAGGTCTATATAATCACCTTGCAATTATGAAATTATAGCTTTTTCGCTTTGAGTATAGACTATTCGGTTCATAAGAGCAGTTCAATCTTTTATGAAGTTTGCTGTATAAAAATATAACATTTTGAAATATTTATAACTATTGGCCTATACATATCGGCTATCGGCCTCCAAGTCTGAAAAGTTATCGGTAATCGATATCGGCCAAAATATCCATATTGGTGCATCCCTAGTGTCACTAGCTATGTTTTCATTCAAAAATGCAAATTAACTATGTGCAAAAGTGGATTATCGCATAAAAGATGTGTGAATAAAGCAGCGTTTCCATTCAACGAGTCAAAGCAGACACAATCATCACTTCCTGATTAACTGGCGGCAAAAATCAACAGTAAAAACCGAACTTGCTGTGATAGGAGAAGCTACAAGTGTTTTCTTCATTTCAATGACTTGCATCTTAGAAAGCAAATCCTGACACACAGTAAACGCGTGGTGGCAAAGACGTGAAAAGCAGAGCACAGACGCTCTTGATTCTGGAGGTGATTAATAATATAATAACACTAATACTGAAACTGTTTAGGAGTTTTAGAATAACCAAAACAACATTTCAAATGTTTTACAATGAGCTCAGCCTGCTGGTTTGTTACACATGATCTCTCGTAACTAAATCACATGACCTTTTTCATGCACATTCTGGAATGTGTTCAGTAAAAGTGTTTCCATCGCAGTTTATGCACATCTTTTCTTATCGAAATAAAACATTTATCCTTCACAGTTATGCGCATTTTCAAAATTCATGCGCATCTTGGCATTTCCATCAACCATATATCCAAAATGCGCATACAAATAGATGGATGGAAACGTTGCTATTGTCATTGTGTCAGATTGCACACCTAACATAGTAGACTACCTAATTTATATAATATTTTTATATAATATGATTATAATATATATATATATATATATATATATATATATATATATATATATATATATATATATATATATATATATTTTTTTTTTTTTTTTTTTTTTTTTTTATATAGATGTATACTTTTAATCCCAAAATTTTTGTTTTGTGAATTTTAGGGAATTACCACCACAAAATCACAAAAAAATAACACGAAAAACTAGGGGTGGGGGAGGGGGGAATTGGGATAAGTTAGTAACACTGATAACCTTTGTTAACAAATATGCATGTTGAACATTACTGAGTGTTATGTTTTCACAAAAAGTTCTATAAATAAAGTTATAAAAAATGTGATTCTCAGTTTATCCACATTTATGCAGCTCTAATATCTAAACTGACATTTAAGGACACACTGGTATAATTATATAATAAATGCAAGATTTCATGTTACCCTCTAGGTTCATGCCTGCCATGAGGCATTTGCGGAAACGACAGGCAGGGCAGTTCTTCCGGCGGATTTTGTCAATGATGCAATCGTTTCGCCCAGCACACAGGTAATTGTGTTGCCCTATGAAAAACAAAAAAAGGTAATGATTAGACAGGATGTGTCAAGAGACCCTCACCCTTCACTGCTGTCCAACACTGTTCTGAAACCCACTGCATGGATCTGACTGTTTATGCACAAATGAGAACAACAAACATTTCTGCCACTGTTTTGTTGTAGATCTTCAAATGTATTTAGTTAATTGGCAGACGTTCTTGGTGTTATTTGTCTGCTTGGGAGACATAATCATGATTTCCAGCTAGAAGGATGCATTTCAGCACCCACACAATAAAACATTTTGACTGACGAGTGACTCATTGTACGAGTCATTTGAAGTAGACGTGCTATGAGAAGTCAGATCTTGCTGGAAGGACGTGGTCTCTAACTCTACCTTATTAGGTAAAGAAGCACTAATGGAAAGAAAATCACATGTTGAAATTGCCACTGTTGATGTGTTTTGATCACCAGTCTGCACTTTTATAACTAATATAAAAATGCCATATGTATATATCATCATTTATGATTAATTGCCTGATTAATGGAGTTATTTAATCTAATCCTAATTATTTAAGCTAGCCAATAATGGCAGGGCAGTTTAAAGTCCTCATTCCAATAAGCATTATTATATTATATTATATTATATTATATTATATTATATTATATTATATTATATTATATTATATTATATTTTATTATATTATATTAATCTGTACAAATGTTTAATATTCACACACAAACATCACATTCATGTAAGAAAAATCAAACTACTTTTATTTTATATGATATTAAACTATATGATGTGGGTCTCCTTTTTTGAGGAGGGGGAGGTGTCTATCATGAATTGTTAAATTTTTATTGTAATATTAAATTAACATTTATTTTTTTTACTTTTTTTCAGTCTAATGATCTAGTACTAGTCTAATGACTAATGACACTAAAGTACACATTTATAAAGTGCACTTGTGATAAATTTGAATTAACTACTTTATTTAAGAGCACATTTACAGTGACTTCCAGTTAATATGATACAAAATGTCTTGTAAAAAGGGTTTCCGCAAGTTTCACCAAATTAAATTTAAGACTTCAAGACATTTTAAAGACCATTATGAATGAAATTTAGACTTATACAGGGCTAAATGCTAAGGATTTGTTTAGAATATCCCAGTTAGAAAAGATAGTCACTAGCCATTTCAAAAAATGATTATAATTTAATAATATAATAATAATTAAATAATAAAAATATAGGTCAGGTCAGTATCCTCAACAGTAAATAAATGGAGTACTTTTAAACAAATGTAATTAAATGCTAATATTAAATAAAAAGTTAAAAGTTTGATTGAGATTGGGATTGTTTGTGATTGAATGAGTGTTAATGGCCAGATTGGAAAGCTATACATGAACAAAGCAAAATTAAGACCTGTTAAAAAGTCCTACAACACAACATTTTAGTTGATTTAAGAATTTTTAAAGCCTAAAATGTAGCTTTTGTGATTTTAAGACATTTTAAGACCCCGCAGATACCCTGTGTAAATAAGATACACACGTAATTTCTATTAAAATTTGTATGACATTTAAGTTTTTTTTAAAATTTGTCTACACTTGAAATAAAGCATTACATTGAAGCTATGTTGACTAATACAAATGAGTTTAATTCTTTTTAATCAGAAGAAAAACATACTCAAGCTCTATTAAACTAAGACTGAAGTTCTTCAATTAATTGTATGCACATTTAAATACATTTTAAATGAACTGTAATTCTTTCTCTAAAACATTGCATACAGTTTAAAAGTATAAAAATACAATATTTTAAAGCATAGTATTGCCATTAAAAGTACTTTGTTAAGTGTATAATCAAGTAAGCATGGGCCGGTATAAGACTCTGATGGTAAGATAACCTTAAATAAAATATCACAGTTTGACGGTATTGTGATTACTGCTCTAAAATATGTTCTTTTTAAAACGTCTGTGTAAAACAACTAAATCTTTTCCCCTTTGAACACAATATATTTTATTTTAAAAAACATGTTTTAGAGCAGTAAACATGTCAGGCTAAATAATTCAAATAAATCATTGACTTTAATTAGTTTCTAAAACACAGATTTCTTTACAATTTAAAACGACATGCTTTTCCGCAGGTGATACTGTTGTCCTAAAAATATGCAAATAAAAAATCTAACATATACCTTAGAAACATTATAGCTGAATATTTTGGCAATTTTAAAACCTTGACTTTTCCAAACTGCGGTAACCCTTGAAAACGATTATAGTCTCATCCCTATACTCAAGATGGACTTATAAAAAGAGAATGCATAGTAAACACATTAATGCCAGAGATATATGGAATACCTTCAACAGCCCTTTTAAAGAAGACTTTACAGCTTCCGCAAGTGAGAACTCCATAATGGCAGCCAGAAGCCTCATCTGAGCAAACCAGACAGATCTTGTGTGTGCCAGTCTTTCCACCAGCTGACGATGTGGCAGTGCTGTCTTCAGGCCTGAAACAATCAGAAATATCTATCTTTTAATGTCCAGGAATATTATAGTGCTATCATTTTGAATATTGAACTGAAATGTACACTGCTGCCTGAAAGTTTGGGATCAGTAAAATTAGGGCAGGGCGATTTATCGAAAAGTAATCAAAATACACATTCAGAAACTATAATCAGTCAAAACATTTTTCAGGTGAATTTTTTCCAATTATTTTCCATACCATGTGTGGAGTCACGTGACCCCGCTTTAAGGCTAATTTCTACTTATTATATCATGATTTACACGTATTATATTATTCTGATACTATACTTCAGCCAAGTGCATGCCTATGGTCCGGTGCAGCCTCCGCATACCCATACACCTCTCAAAAAAAGAAATGTAACTACATGCAACAATGATGCGTAACGCAAGCTTTGTAATTGGTCGGTTTGGTAGCTGTGTCGAGGGTGGGGTGGACGGTGCAGAGAGCCGCATTTTATACAATCCGTGTTTTCAATTGTTCAGCATTGATGTTCAATAAATAATCATAGATAGTAGTGCGTGTTTATTTCAATTATTTTAAAATCAAGTAATGCTTGCTTCATTCAAAAAATATCTCACTTGTAATATGAGCATATTTACTGTACAAAATCTGTCAGTGAACTATAAGGGCAAAAACATCAATTAAATAAAATAATCGTTCATTATTTGTAGTAAGAGTTAAAATGTTCAAATTAATAAATATTTTGATTTTAGACCAAATCGCCCAGCTCTAAGTAAGATTTGTTAATCTATATAAATTCTGTTCACCTGCATTTTTTGGGATCAAAAATACTGTAAAATTCTGAAATATTATTCGAATTTAAAATGACAGTTTTCTTTTTAAATCTAGTTTAACATTTAAATGTATTCATGTGATTTAAAGCTGAATTTTCAGCATCATTAGCATCACATGATCCTTTAGAAATCAATATAATATGCTGACTTGCCGTTCTATCATGATCAATTATTAATAATGGTTCTTGTTGAAGACATTTTTTCCTTCATAAGATTGTGGAAACTACATTTTATTAAAGTTCACAAAAACATCATTTATTGAATCTTTTTGAAACTCGTTTACAGTATGTCTTTACATTCCATATTCCATCTTAAACCGTTTAATGTTATCTTGATGAATTAGTGTGAATAATATATACTACTGGTCAAAAGTTTGGGAGTAGTAAGATTTTTAGATGTTTTAAAATAAGCTTATCCTGCTCACCAAAGCTGCATTTATTAACAAAAATACAGTACAAACAGTAAAATTGTGAAACATTGTTGCACTATAAAATAACTGTTCAAAAGTAGATTATTATTTATTTTACTCATTTATTCCAGTGGTTTAAAAGATGAATTTTCAGCTTCATTACTCTAGTCTTTAGAGTCTCATGATCCTTCAGAAAAAACTCTAATATGAACTATTATTAATGGTAATGGTAATAAAATCAATAATGACTGGAGTGATCATTTTATTTGAAGTTACATACAGTAAGAAAGCAGTTATCCAACATTTTAATAACTTTAATTATTTAATAAATGCCACCTTAATGAACTCATTTTCTTAAAAAAAAAAAAAAACTGCAAAAAAAAATTGACCTCAAATAAATATGAATTATTTCTATTATTATCAGTGTTGAAAACTGTTAGGCTGCTTCATACCAAAAACTACTAAATATAAACACAACTGGTTTAATTCATTCATATTTAGAATTTGTATTAAAATAATTTTTAAATGACCATGTGAGACAGAACACCTGAGCAACTATTATAGAAATGTTGCTTTGACATCAGAGAAATAAAATGCATTTATAACTACACTCAATAAGAAAGCAGATTTTTTTAACGGTGCTATTTAACTGTATTTTTGACCAAATAAATGCATTATTGGTGTGCAGAATAGCATTATTTTAAAAGCACGATCACAAACTATTGTGTATCTCTCCGCATAAGTAGTTTCAGCCCACTCCCATGACAAAGCTATGATTATGAAACATAATAAATCCAAAAGAATGGCCACCAGGTGGCGACACCCAAATGTAGCCAAAAAATTCAGCACTGCTCCACCTCCACAGCGACTGCACTGAGCCACTTTTGCAACGCCTACACATGTGTTTAGTGTGAGAGAAAAAGACAGAAAACAAGTAGGGCTTTACAGTGTAGTAGATATAAAATAAACAGTTGCTCGCATGCAAATCACTCATGTGAAACAGAGTAGAAAGGAGGAGAGAGCAGTTGCATATCCTCTTAAAACCGCTAGATAACATCTGTTTGTATAACGTCAGCACACAGTGTTGCTCAATGATCAAATACCACATTAAAGTCAAACGGCTGTAGTATCAATACAATTTGTGCTCTGAATTCAACGTGTTGAAAATAATGCAGGCTGTAATTACAAGGAAATATATCATGACTTGAGTCCTGGAGATATCTCTATGTCATTTGTGTATTCATGGATATCAGCAAGATTATTGCTGTGCTTTATTCAAAACTATCATGGAGTATTGTGAAAATGTAGATTGAGACGTGCCTCCTACAAGTCTAAACAAGAGAGATCTTGTTAGGCGCCAAACGATCATGGAGTTCATTTGCTTACAGTTGTTAAGTAACGTCACAACTTGTCATGTGAAAGATATGCCTCACGTAAAAACGAAAATGTACTCGTATTACACGTACTAGTTGTAATACACCGGATAAAATGATGTCTGCAAAATTGTTGCAAACAATTTAAATGTGTTGAATTTAAACAAACAAATTAAATTGAGTATTGTTCAACTTTATTTGTGTTTAAATTCAGCCCAAATAAATTGTTTACAAACATTTAACCCCAAGGAATCAGCCATAAATATATTTTTTTCAGTGTAATTTGTATCGTCTTTTGAAAATATTTTAAAGAACGTTGGTCAACGGTGAGTTAACAGAAGACTTTGACTTCCATTGTGTTGGAAAAAATGCATGAAAGTCAATTGGTTAACAACATTCTTTAAACAAAACAAACAAACTCCCATAGGTTTGGCACAAGAAGAGGGGGAATAAATATTTTTTACAAATTTTTAAACGGCAAGCGTTTATGCCTAAAATTGCTTATTTGTGACTCACGTGTCTCAAAATGTGAGGTTGTTTTTGTCAGATTTATTGCCATTTCTATATCTTATCTTTTGGTTTGTGTCCAAAAACGTCCAAATAAATAACCAAACGAGTCGTCTGTTGTTTTAGTTCAAATCTGTTATTGACATTATTAAACCAAAGCAGATGCCTTTTGTTTTTTTTTTTGTTCAAATGTGTTATTGATATTATTAGTATATGGTAATGCAAATAGAGAGTAAAGTTACGTCTGGTGCTTATCGTGATGGAATGCATTTTATTGCTTTTTAAAAGAAACCAAACAAATATTTTATTTGCACTTTATTGAGCTGGTGTAATGAAGACCTGTTAAAGGCAACTTGTGCATGCATGCGTGCATTTATGTGTAATACAACCAAGTCATACCTTTCTGGCTCAACCTGTTCTCTATTGTTTAGAAAACATTTTAATAATAGTTTTAGACATAATTGCCTATCGCAGAGCTCTTCAACTGATAGCCCACAGGGAAAAGCGTGTGCTGATACTGATTTTGATTGGAAATCCTCTACCTTACATGCTTAATCTGATCCCCACAGGTAAGTCCTTTAAAGGATTAGTTTAGTTTCAGAATAAAAATGTCCTGATAAATTTGGAGGTTGGAAATTTCCTGATCTATTACTCATCCCCTTGTTTTCCAAGGTGTAAAAGGGATAGTTCATCCATAAATAAAAACTGACTCACCATTTACCCTGAGGTGGATGTCAACTTTGAGTTTCTTTTTTCTGCTGAACAATAAAGGTATTCTGAAGAATGTTAGAGAGCGGACACCATTAACCGACAATAGTAGGTGAAAATGATACTACAGAAGCAAATGACTACCGGTTTCCAATATTCTTCAGAATATCTTCTCTTGTTTTCAGCAAAAAAAGAAACTTAAACAGGTTTGGAACAAAATGAGCAGGAGTAAATGTCATGCTATTTTTGTTAAACTTTAATTTCTGTCTTTATTAAAAATAAATGTAAGGTTCCTTCGAAAATAGTAGGGGTTTAACCCCGGCATCCTGGCTAAATTTGCCCACTGGCCTCTGTCCATCATAGCCTCCAAACCATCCCCATATCATAATTGGCTTCATCACTCTGTCTCCTCTCCACCAATCAGCTGGTGTGTGGTGTGCAGTCTGGCACTATATAGCTGCTGTCACGTCATGCAGGTGGATGCTGCACACCCAAAAATGTGTAAAGCGCTTTGAGTGTCCAGAAATGAGCTATATAAATGTATGGAATTATTATTATCATTTGAGGAATAGGGTCTAATAGCAAAATAATCTGTCATTTTATTAGAGAAAAAAGAAATCAATACATTTTAACTTTTAAAGTTTTCATCCCAGAGGTTTTGTGGCTAAAAAGTACATAAAGTTTTCATTTTAAGAAAATGACAGATCATTTCGCTTACTTCTTGGCAGGGATAATTTAGAGCGCATTGAAACTGCAGTTTGGAAACCACACAGCACCATAGATGTGCAAGACAGTGCTCAGCATATATAAGTACACTCACAAATCTCTCTTTTAAATAATATTTTTAGTAGGAAGCTATACAAGAATATATTTGTGCCTATACATTAGATTATTTAAAGAAGCCAAATCTGGAGCTTATCTAACAAAATAACTTACAATAACGATCCAAAAATAGCACACCCAAATTCATCTATTATGGAAAAATAATAAATACACATTTTAAAAAAAAGGAAAAATCAAGCGAAAATCTTTTTAAATTTAGTTGAAATTTTGTAGGTTGTCATTTTTTTGCAATATTTAGTTTAAATTTAATTGTATTATCTTTTAATTTCTAAATATGTTTAATGACTAAATACTATTTTAATAAATATATCTGCTTAATAAATCTGTTTTGTTTAACTGCACTGACATA